TTAAACTAGATCCTTTCAATTTTTTAATAAATTTTCTCCACTTTAACTCTTTTTTTTTTTTTATCCACATCGCTGTTTTGCATCGCCACCCAAAATGCCTGAGACATGTGAACCACACGAGAGTTTTTGGTCTTCAGGTTGGATGCAGAACCCAGATCCATTGAGTGTGGACATAGGGGGTTTTGATACTGAGTTTGCAGCTCACTGTCCTCCCCGGAGCTTCTGGCCTTTGGAAACCCTGCAACGGGAACAGCAGGAACCCCGAGCCCTCTGACCGAAATAAGTTGTTCTCACCTGGCAGGGTCCATCATCTTACGTCCCACTTCACAGAATCACAGAACTGTCTAGGTTGGAAAAGCCCTTGCAGCTTCTCCAGTCCAAGCATGACCCCCCCCCTGACCGTTCCCAGCTCCCCCAGATCCCTCAGCGCTGGCTCAGCCCGACTCTTCAACCCCTCCAGGGATCCCGGGGACTCCCCCCTGCCCTGGGCAGCCCATTCCAACGCCCAACAGCCCCTTCTGCACAGAAATCCTTCCTCAGAGCCAGACTAAACCTGTGCTCCAGACCCTGCCCCAGCTCCGTTGCCCTTCTCTGCCCACGCTCGAGTCACTCAATGGCCTTTTTGGGGTGAGGGGCCCAACACTGAACCCCCTCAGCGAGGGGCGGCCTCCCCAGTGCCGAGCCCAGGGCTCAGATCCCTTCCCTGTCCCTGCTGGCCACGCCAGCGCTGACACCAGCCAGATATTGAACATATCTTGAAATCCAATAAAGCCAAAGCATTGCTCTCAAGAGGGTGGATGCTATATCAGTTTTACTTGGTGTCCATCATGATAACACATGGCACAAATGGGCGTAGAGTTAGAATCCCCCTTCTTTTGTGGCTTGATTCAGGACTGTGCTGATGCTCAGTGCTCCTGAAGTGCCAGGGCTGGTACTGCAGCGAGTTCAGCGTGGGCCCCGGCGAGGCGGCGGTAGCTGGGCGTCGCACCTGGTAGCCATATATCATCTAACTAACGAGCCGGTGAAGTGTTTAATAACCCCACGGAGAAAATGAAACTTTTAAACAATAAATCCATGCTGGGGCTGCTCAGAGATACCCCTGATGGGCATTGTCACCTCTTGCGGCCTCAGATCCAAGGTTTCCTCTTTGTTTTTTTTTTTTTGCTTGCGGGACTTCCGCTGAGTTGAAGAACATTAGAAACCCAAGCGATTTTAATTTAATTAGCAACTCGTTTGCATAAATTAGTTTATTTAGCACGTCAGCCTGCGTCCAGGATTCTCTTTGAGAGGCCTGCTTGGCCTTTTTAACATCCTTTGGGGGAAGAGGGCTCAGCTATTGTGCTAATTCCGCGTTACCTTGGAAAACGGTCGCTGCCGTAAAACCTCTGCTGAAGAACTCGAAACACGCAGCTACGCGTAAGGGAAATTTTCTCAAGTTTCCTTTTCGTGGCGAGCATTACAACCTGCCTGTTGCTTGTGTGAGCTAAAGGGCAAAAAGGTGCACGAACCGAACTTACTAATCGTCATTATGGCTTCTCATTAACAAAATCCAGGAGGGAACATCTGTCTTTGTGCAGGGAAGTGGGTCTTTAAGTCCAATTACCGCAATTAATGAGTTACATTTGAGAAACGTGATTTTTACCGTGGGATTTGGAGGATTACAATAGCGACGCACTCTGCATTTCACATGAGCTCCTCACCACCACATCAAATATTTACTTCTCCACCAGCCGCTGAAAAATCAAACAAGTCACAACGCGAAGTCACTCGTATAAAAAAAAAAGCCGCTAAAAAAAGCCGCTTTGGGTCCATTATCTAACCGATAAACAGCACGGATGCTTTTTTTTTCTTTTTTTTTTTTTTTTTTGGCGGTGGCTGTGTCTTATCAGTTACTCTTCACGTCACGGTGATATCCCGGGACGCAGTCTGGATTCCCTGTAACAGGAGCTGGATCAATCTCTCTTTTGCAGCGCACGCGAGCGTTACTTGAGTCAAAACACCACCCCAGCTGCCAGCTGCAGGGGCTGTAAGTGCAGTTGCCTTCTTTGCTGAGCGCTGCAGGTGTTTTCAAAGCAAAAATATTGAGAAAGTGCAGTCTGGGCACCAGGCAGCTTAGGGTTAATTTGCCCGCGGTGCTACCTTCCTCCCTTTATTTTATTTTTTTTTTTTTAGATTCGGGCTCTTGCATTTCTCAGTGTGGAAGTGTTTGGAGTGTTGGTGTGTGAATAGTGAATATTCCTCCCCACACTTCTTTGGAAAAAAAGTGGGGTTTTTTTTATTAAGAAATGGAAGGGAAAAACATTTTAAAAAATATTTGAATGTGCAGCGTTTAGAAGATTGAATCTTTGGGGATAGCTGTATCTTCTACTTTTAGGCTGAGATACAGGAAAGTCTGAAGGCCCAGTTATTAAAGAAGACTTTTAGCTATTAAACTGGAGCTGGAAGAGCGAGGGTATCTTTGTGGTGATCTCTTTTAGCTTGTATTGAGCTTTCAGACATTCATAGCTCCAGCTAGGCAGGAGTTATCTGCGATTCTCAGCCTTACAGAGGGGGTGTTTATGAGTCTCTACCTCTCTTCCCCCCCTCTTGCAGCTCTTTCCTGGAACTTACTTTTAATGAACTCGCTGTTGGCAGCTCGGTTTCGGGAGGGATTTTGTTCTCTCTTCTGCTCCATTGTGTTTTCTCTGCCTTAAACTAATTAAAAATGTAAACACAGTTCTTTGAAATACAAGAAAGTTAATCTTCAGCTCTTGTCTCCTGGCTACTGGTGGGAGCTGTGAGGATACAGACAGCTGTCATGACGACACTGATTTGGTGGGATTTGGGGAGCGAGAGCCGTGGCTGCTCTGGCTGCAGCAGCTCCCGCCTTCCTGCGCTGGAGTTACTCTCCAGGTGCATTGATTTCATGATACGGTAATGGTGTCTAAGAGAAGAGAGGTAACCGGGCGGGAATCCAGGGGCGAAGGAAACAAAACGGGCTGTTCGACTTCAGATTCATGAAGAGATGGTTTGGGTTTGCCTGAAAACTGGGTGGGTTTCCGACCCGAGACGTGGATTTTGGAGGGAGCCCGTGCACATCCCATGTGGATGAAGACATCTCCCATGCTCCTGGTCCCTGTGTCTCAGCTCCAGAGCCACGGGCGTCCTTGTAGAAACTTGTCCCATGGATACCCCTTCCTCAACACGTATTTTACGGCTGGAGTGTCTCACGACTTTTTTTTTTTTTCTTTCTTTTTTCTCTTTCTGTGTCCAATTCTGATGCAGTGGCCACCAGCCCACTTGACTGACTGAGGCTGATGCCTTTTAATATCTCTAATGAGCCCAATCAGCTACTAAAGCAATGGCTGTTGTTATTATCATCATTATGGTACACATTTCCATAATAGAAAAAAAAAAAAAAAAAGTCGTGAGACACTCCAGCCGTAAAATACGTGTAAGGTGGTAGTGGAGAAAATAAATAGGAAAAAAAAAAAGCTCTTTATTTATGATTTGTCTTCCTGATTTCAAATGGGAGTCCAATGAGCAGAGTAAAAATTATGCCCACGTCCCATGTGAGATGGAAGGATGTCCTGCGAGACTCCAAAGTGATCCCCGGTGTCAGAGGGGATCTGCTGTTACCCCCTGGGGATGGCTGGAGGGAGCTGACCATCCCTGGTAGGCGATGCAGCCTGCCAAGGCTCTCTCCATCAGCCTGGAGTTTCCCTGTTTAAAGACATGAACACGAAACTTGCCTTTAGGGCACAAGTCGACGTCAAAGCGATGTGATATTGATAGCGAGAAAGTAGGAAGAAGAAGTTTTGGGGACGGAGGGGGCTGAAAGAAACGCCTGAAGGACTCACTGGAATGAGTTTGGCCTTAGCGCGGGTCGGAGGGATGTTTAAGCAGGATTCCTCTGGCCGCAAGAAAGCTTGTAACTGCCACCCCCATTTTTGGCCTTGAATTTACGATGCACGAGAGACATGATCTTAGTTTGGCTTTGTATGGTGACTTTGTTTTGAAAACTATCCCCGTGTACTCAAAATCAATGTCTTGGGTGCTTCTATTCCAACTGACAGCCCTCGTGTTTCCAGCAGCGTCTTGCAGAGCGTGGAGGCGGATCGTTCAGGACAGAGGTTTTGTTGTGTGACGTTTCGAATCATTACAAGAGACAAAGGATTTTTTCAAATTTCCTCTAGAAGAGAGCTGAGACATCTCGGTGGGTGCGTCTTTAAAGGGCAGCGCTTCACACGGCGCTGAGGGTGACACTCTTGTGCCAAGCAGCAGTACTTGGGGCTCGGAGAAGCAGCAGGAGTTTCAGCAGAGCTGCTGAAAAACGGGAATCCTTTTCTGTCCAAAAAAAAAAAAATATTTTTTTTTCTCCCCCTTCCAAACTGGGATAAAAAGCCAGAAAGAACTTTTTTTTTTTTTTTTGAGAAAGTTGAAATACAATTTTTAGTTTAGCTTGTGCAGTGACCCATCTGGAGGGTTGCTGTCAGCTGGAGGGAGTTAGGAACAAAAATAAGTGACAACTGTGGAAATAACGGCCATTCCCCCAGCCTGGCCACTGCTCGCTTCGGTCTCACTTTCCCCCTCAAACACAGTGCCAAGCTGACAGTTCCCTGCCAGGCAGGGGCCACAGAGACCAAGTTTTCATTATCTTCCCGGAGTGCCAGGTTTGTAGGTGTTTTTCCCCAAGAAAATTTCGAGTTTCCGTGTGAAACTTTTGTTTCCGCAGAAGAGCGTTCGTCATCAAAAAGTCAACTGAAAATTGCAAACCCGCCGTGACTCGTTGGGGAGCGGAGCCCGTGAAATAGAATCGAAGAGTTCTGAGGAAGCGTTTGTGCTGGCTCTGGTGCTCCTCCAGGAAGAAGTGGTGGGAAGGGGACTGTATGTTTACAACAGAAAACACAAGCAGCAATGATAAAACCAGCTGCATTTTGCCTATAAGCTCCAAATTTCACTCCAACCCCCTTTTTTCCTTACCTACGGCTTCTCAATGTGACTTTTTTTTTTTCTTCCAGGGCCTAATCTCCCCAAGGCTCAGGTTAAAACAGCATCCCTTGGCTTGGCAGGAAAAGCCAGGTCACCTCTGCTGCCCGTCTCGGTGCCCACGGCCCCGGAGGTCGCAGAAGAAGGCCACAAGCAGACGGAGGACTCCGCCAACGTAAGAATCATCTCTCAGAGCCTTGCGGGGCTCATCACCACCGAGTTATAGTCTCTAATCCCCAATCCGCACGTTAATTTTTAGATAACGACCTGTCCCTCCTTACCTAAGGTATTACACTGCAGCTGATCGCTATTAGAAAGCTACTAAAAAGTTCTGGCAGCTGGTAAAACTTTGCCGTCGGCTTTAATGGACTTTAGAGTGTGTGATAGAGGGGAGAAGCGAGTACTTAAATTCTGTGTTAATATTATCCACGGGACAACTCGCAGAGCCTCTCCTGAGCGCCCTGAGATACTGGGAGAAGAGAAGGAGGGGGTGAGAAGTGCGATAAGGGAAGAAAATAATTTTGGCAGGAAAAAATGAGTATATAGTAATACCAGATAATGGTGAGAAAAACAGCATTGAAGGAGTAGATAAGTGAAACCGAAAAGATGGTGAAATTAGAATAATCTTTCTGCTCCTATTAAGGCTCCGTTAGAGAAAGGTCTCACGTGATCCAGAAGATGAAACAGTGAAAAAGAAAAGGACTAAGGAAAAAAAAAAATGTATTAAATACATGTTGTGTATCACCTCTTCTCATCTACTTGCACAGGAGAATTTTTTACGAGGGACTATAGCAACGATTTGGCCAATATTTTGTTAGCGAATCCTTTTACGCTTTCATCCTGGCTAAAGGGAAAGACAAAAGATTTGCTTTAGACGTAGGTATGGAGGGTTTGGGCTTGCCTAATTAATGCAGGACAAGAGCGTTCGATTCCTGCTTGTCATTTGCAACGGCATAAAACTCTACTTCTGCATACGGTCGCAGAAGGATTCTCATGTTTTGCTGGGAAACGGGGACGCAGGGCAATGTTAAAGACGTGGAACGTCCTGCTGGAAGGGGAATGGGAAGAAAAAAACGCCCTCTGGGGTAAAATTGGAGGTGTAAGGAGTGATTTAGCCCCGGACATTTGGTAACACAAAGGGCAGTTTCAGCTCTCAACACCTTCTTTCATCACAGCAGCACGATTTAGCCCTGGGGAGAAACACTCCTCAAGTCTGCGGGCAGTTACAGGTGATGACAGTGCAACAAGCAGCTCATCAGGTCATCAGAATTTGGGGACAAAGGCTAAAATCAGGGGATTGTTGTTTTTTGGGGTTTTTTTTAAGCTTGACTCTGCAGGTGCTCTTTTAAGCTGCCTGCCCCGTCCCACCTCATGGCCTGCAGGGCTCATACAGCACTGTCAGATCTTTTACTGGGTAAAACCCACATAAATAACTAATGCTTGAGCTCCCTCTCAGCAACTGGAAGAAGAGTCACTAATCTTGCTCTTTCCTTCGTAATTGTGGAGGTCAGGGGTTTCCAAGAACAGATGCCAAGCTGATAATTTGAGGTTTTGCGGCAGATGCGCAGTTGACCCTACCCCAAAGGATTACTTTCCTCCAGGCCAGTTAAGCGCTTCTGAAAACTATTCCCAGTCCTCTGCTCCCACTAAAGGCCATCGGGTAGGAATTCCCACCCACCAGCAAGGGTTCCGAAGTTCAGCTAATTGCTGGATGAACTGTTTCAGCCTGCCCTAAGAGGACATGTTTGGATGAGCGTTCGATGTGTCTGTTGGCTGCTAAAAGAAAAAAAATAATTTAAAAAAAAATCTTCAATTTTTGAAAGGGGTTCATATTTTGGAGAGGGTTTTTTGAGGGATTGTTAACATTTAGCATTGTTTTAGCTTGGCCACCCCTGGTTTGCAGCTCCCGTGTTAAGCCCAGAGAGGTTTTGCTATAAGCCTCAGCCCATCCTCGAGTATTTCAGGTCCCCGAAGATCGTGTGGGGACGCTGTGCCGGTGGGATGGCCCTGGGAGGTCCCTGCCACGAGCCACGTCCCCGGCTCTGTGCAAGGGGTTCTGGTTCCCATCCTGCCGCCCACTTCTCTGTGTTTGTTTGTTCCCTCACAGGTTTATGAGCAGGATGATCTGAGTGAACAGATGGCCAGTTTGGAGGGGCTAATGAAGCAACTCAATGCTATCACAGGCTCAGCCTTCTAACAGCTCTTGATGAAGCGATAATTATCCCGGAGCATTGCAGCACACCAGGATTTCACACATACCACCCGCGTACACCACCCCATAAAGTCATCTTGTTCCCGGTACCACTCATTCAGTGCAAGGAAGATCCCTGCAAAGTCCTAAAAGGGAGGGAGAAAAAGAAAAGTCAAGAATAATAATGGAAATGTTACCGAACTGTAAATCTGGCATCTAAAAGTGATGAGAGCGTGGCAAAGCGCATGATGTCATCGCCGTGGAGTCGTAGCTGATGCCACCAGATTGCTCATTTTGATCTACTAGTCTTCGTAGAGCTCAAGGTGTCATGACTAGCTCATGTTTTACTCCGTAGAGGTTTGTAGCTCTTTGTATAGATCTAGTCTTACCTCATGCAAGTATGTTTTTAAACATAGGCCATTCCTTTAATGAGACGGTGTTGTAAGTCACTTGTTTGTTTGTTGTGCTGGTTTTTTTTTAAAAAAAAAACAAAAACAAACAACACGTAATTACTGACTACAGAAACAAATAACCACACCACCACACCAAAAATTCGGAAGTTTTCCCCAACAGCACAACAAAAATGAAAAGACAAATTACAAATTTCTTTTATCGGCTCCGTCACTCATCTCGCACGAGCAGTGGGGATTAGGGGAGTTGCTGTAAGATTCAGCCATTTTCAGCAAGCGTTTGTAAATCCTCCCGTAGTTACTCTTTTATGTATGGCAAACAGAGAACCAGGAATGTAAAAAAAATAAATAAATAAAATAAAAGAAGAAGAAGAAGAAGAGAAGAAGAAGAAGAAGAAAAAAAAAAAAAGTCTGTATTGGTGGCCTGCTGCCAGCCAGCCAGTGTACACTTGCAAAAAAAAAAAAAAAAAAAAAAAAAAAAAAAAAAAAAAAAAAAAAAAAAGAGGACATAATATGCAATCTTCTCTGGCACGCGGCCATTATGCGCTTGAGTTTGTCATAAAACACGTCGGCGTAGGGGTGGCCTTTGCCCCGTGGTGACACTGGGAAGCATTTCTGGGGCCACCACGAGCTGGAACAGAGAGAAGAACGGAGCTGAAGTTTCCCTGAGCTTTTCCCATCCACCCCACATCCCCCGGGACGGCTCCGCTCCCAGGACTCGTCCACCCGGGATGAGGATGGGTGGAGGATGAGGAGGGCAAAGAGAGGACACGAGCCTGGGCGAGGAACCGTAGAGGCTGGTAAATGACGGATAAATTAATTAGGAGGGGGTTTGTCTGCAAGCGTAGCACTTCCTGGTTGAGGTTGGCAGTACTCCACGCGAAGAGCAAGAAAAGAGCAGAGAGCAGCCGGGCGCCATCTTTAGGGATTCCCTCCCCTTGTCCTCGCGCTTAGCTGCGCGTTACAGTGTTTATTGACAACCATAACGCGTTGAATTGACTAAATTTTGTGTGCATACATTTTATTGCTAAATTTTCAGCTGCATTCAGCGTTAATCCCTGTTTATGCAGCTGAATCACCAAAAGGGAACTAATTTGCATATTTATCAGTTAGGAGGCGGCAAAACCCAATAAGAGAGTTTCAGATGAATTATTCCATTCAGCTCTGCCTTTGATTTCAAGCTTGAGTGGGTCATAATTTTAAAAGAGCATGGAAAGGATAGGATCTTTACAACCTAATAGCTCCTTTTATTAGGTGGGTAATTATATGTGAATCTCCGAATAAAATATTTTGAGTAAAATGGCACTGCAACAGAAGTAATAATTCAGATTATTTCCTACAGCCCTGTGCTGGAAAGGAAATCAGATGTCAAGGAGGAATTCAAGTGCTTCACTGGGATCGCTAGCGTGTTTGTGCAAATGCTCCTTTAAAAATGCCTTGTTATTCAATTTACTGAGATTTTTAATGAAATATTTCTCAAGAGTGAGGATATCTTGTTTGCATGGCAGGCCGAGCTTTCCAGTTCTGAAAGATTTGTCACCCAAAACCTCTACTAAAAATAAAACGATCAAATCTGTCCGGATGAAAACCCAGCTCAGCTGTTAGACCGTATAAAATCACTCCCTCCATTTTAACTCCAAAAAAAAAATCAAAGCTTAATGCAGCTTTTGAATTGCTCCCCGGCCATATTTGCGGAGATTGACGTGGTCGAAATAGGAACACAGGGTCAAATCTGTCTCGCGCTTTATCGTTTATGAAATATCTCTTACCCCGGATTTGCAGCTGGGAGCAGAACCTGCCCCCCCCCCGACTTTAAAGAGCAGCTCTGCACCTTTTTAAACACAGAAAACTAATCCAGGATCAAACGTATCACAATCCCGAATCGCCTAAACTAAGACGAGTCACAAAGAGGGTTTGCAAGTTGGATTTTGTTTGGTTCGGATACAAGGGTTGTAGCGTCCAGACGCTTTGGTATTGATCAGCCTCTTCGTTTGGTTCAGGCACCTCCGACTTAAACGTTAAGCCCCCGAAAGATTGATCTGGCGCTCTCTTAAGCGAGGCCTTTCTTCTGCCGTTTGAGCTGTATCTGTTTCCAGGCTCAGCCCCTTTCAATCGATGGTCGACACTAAAACAAGTCCTCGTGTAACTCTCCGCAGGAAAAACAACAACCACCAGCTCATCCCAAGCAGGACACAACCGCTTCCCACCCCCTTGCTAAATAAATTAGCAAGAAATTTCTGCTTCGGTTGAAGTTCAGCATGAAATTATTCCAGATAAACACTGAGTCTAGAGTTAGGTTTGGGTGTTTTTTTTGGTTTTTTTTTTAATTTTCCTTCAGACCTACAGCCATAAAAGGGTTGTACCCTTCTCCTCTGAGTCACGTGACACTCAGTTTGGGTGTCGCTGTAGCCTTGGAGACATCCCCAACCTCCATTAGAGGGTGATTTTAGTACAATATCTAATTAACAAGTTGGCGTTTCTTTTAAAATTTCACCTTATGTGTCAACTACGTAACTTGCAAAACTCAAGCGCTTTAGCACAAAGCTTCCACATTCTATCCTGCTGGTGCTCTATTTCTTTGCAGTGAGCTTGGCTGAGAATTTCTTTGGATTTTTGATTAATTCCTCAGCTGCCAGACTATTTTTAGCCCGTGACTATCTTAGCCATGGACACTCCCAGGAAAAAAAAAAAAAAAAAAAAAAAAAAAAAA